TGCCATAATCACAATTTTCTTAGTAAATTCTATTACAAGTGGAGTGGTTATCTTATGGAAAAAACTCATACTAGTGACAATCCCAAGTTAGTTTTTATCGAATCAATATTAATTGATTTCCTGGGTGGGACCTTCCTGATTTTCCAAGCACAGTGAGTATTCCATATGACAGTAGGAAAGTATCCACCATAACTGTTTTTTTAAAAGGCAACGAGAATTCTCAATTTACTGTTAAATGTTATGATTAATCTCTTTTTTTTCTAAGACTCAACATTCACCATGTGTGTCAAGGAAGAAAAAAAGTACCATTATGTTTAAGTGATCCCAAACATCTGTATAAAACAATAAGTATATCAATTAGATGCTTGTTTCAAAAAAGGAAGTTGTTGAGGAACATATATAAAACCTTCATGTAATTGTCTGACATCTTCGCTCTCTTCAGAATATAACTGTTATTTAGATATAGACAAAATGTAAGAAAACCACACTCTAAGAAGAGAGTTGCCCAATATTCTACCTGCTTCCCAACCTCTGCCCTTTCTCTCCCCACTGGCACTACCAAATAAACAAATAACCAAACAAATAAATATGTCTACTAATTTTCTAAATTATGTCAAAAATTAAACAATTACAAGTGCAGTTAAGTTGATAGGGAAGCAGATTTCTTACTGAAGCACCACTTACAGCACCCCCCACGAGGATGGCCTGGGCTTGGTCAGGTAGATCTAACCGCCTGCAGATGTGCTGTTAGAGAAGACTACAGAAAAAGAAAAGGTTACTGTGTGGCCTGTCCCAAGGGTACTAGCATTGTGTAAGAAAAGTGTGATTGGATACATAGTTAAAACACTAAACTAAAATGCTATGGAAACCAGAGAAAAGTGAAAAAGTACATATCCTTCAATTTCATGAGTCAAACCCAAGCTCATAAACTTCAAGGCAAGTCCTAAGATGTCAACTGCATTAAGTAGGTCTAGGCTCGGGCTGGAACATCATTTCCTGTGATGCACCACTGTGGTTTTTGATTTTATATCTGTAGCAGTAACTTAACTTGCTTTTGTTCCAAAATGAATTTCATGCTCAACTTGTTTTTCTTAATTAAACTTCCTTTAGCAGTCCCTAATATGTGTTATTATTAAAACTCATTAGTCCTATTCATGCTTGCCTGTCATTTTTTGGCTACACATTCATATATTGAAGTGTTCTGTCACTATATATAGGAAGAAAATTAAATAATAAATATGGGGACTTGAACGTTTTATGAGTGTCAGGATGAGAGACTGCCTGCAAGGCCCATAAGGTTTCACACAAAAGAGGCATTACTGCTAAAGCTAACATGCTGACACATCTCTGATCTATAAAGTCTGCAGTAATGGCAGCAGTAAAGCGTTGTGCCATTGACTGGAATTTCTCTTACATGCAATGGAAATAGGCACAGAAAAGATTATATTGACTATTATAAAATGAATTCATAAAAAATCCCCCCAAAGTTTAATGTCAAATAATTTCAAATGCCTGAAGTGATTTACTAGTTTTCTCTGACTTCAGTTATGCTTAGAGTTGGTAACCTTTCTCTCTCACACAGGTTTACTACCAGATAGGTGGGTTTATCCACTTGGGTGGGGGGGGGCAGAATTTTAAAGGCAAAAAGGACTCATATCCTTTTATAGCAACATAGTAATACTCAACATCATTAATGTGATTCCATTAATAACAAAGTCAAAATAATCAAATATGTAACTGTTAAGGAATCTCTCTTCTTAGAAACAGTTGAGAATGATGCTATCCCACAAGATTAACAGATTAGCTACCTCAAAATATTTTAAATTATCTTTAAAAGGTATTAAAAAGGAAAAGGACATTCTAGTTTCAACATGAATGTTCACAATTTTATTTTTTTTTTTAATTTTCTGGGCTTTGCAAATTTGAAATATTAAAAAATTAAAATTTTAAATTAACTGAAACTTCTGCTTTGTTTTTATATATCTCAAGAGAGCAAAAGAGATGGAAAATTTGCATTTTTGGATGCCATGTGTTAAATTTCAGCAAATCATTAAAAACTATTGTCCTTTTCATTTTACTTTCAATTAACAGTGTGTAGCATTTTTTTTTCAAAAAAATTGATTAATGTAGAATAGCATGTAACTGTATTTAATTATTTCAAAATCATAGGAGGAAACTGTAGGAAAATCTTAACTCCTACTGTATGGTATTTCAGTTAGAACACATGGAAGGCTTTTGAGGGACAGGTGCAGCTGTCAAACTAAACTCCAGTGAATGCAACATCAGTTTTTCCATAGTCCTAAGCTTTGGGGAATCCAATGCTATTTCTTGTCACATACGTCATGAACTGTTTTTGCAATTTTCTGCAGGGGGGTCATTTAGAGTTTCCATCCCTTCATCCTAAACTACCACATTTTGTGTTATTCTGAATCAAAATTGGAAGAGCTGATCAAGACCACCATGTTCTTTTAATAATCACGACCAAAAATATGTGTTTGGATAAGGTAGAGCAAAATGTCATTGATTTTCTAAGTGAACTCTCAGGTTGTTCAGTAGTTCTTAAAGTGATCTACTCTATTAGTAGAGAGCATTTCAATTACTGGGTACCTTGCTCTCTTATTTATTGACTACAGTTTAAAAAATTTTTGTGGTATGTAATTTTACTTTTATTTCTATCATTATTGACCTTCCGAAGTGGGTCTACTACCTACAAATTTACTAAAGTTTTGTGCAGGAACTGCTTATAGAAACCAAAGAATAAGACAAAGCCTTCCCTTTTCTCTTCAACTGATGAAAGAGAATAAAATGGAGTAAAAAGTATTGATGATTCCTGACAGAGAAAGATACTGCTTATCCATGACAAAGGCACTTGAAGCTGTGTCTTTTGCTTTAGCACTATGGCAAATGCCATGATCACCAGTTCAATGGTTGTGAAATAAACAAAATAACTTTTAAAAGAACCATCTTTCTCATGTTTCATATCTTCCATCGAAGTATAGCAATGTTACATTCTCTACTAGCCCAGAAAAAAAAAAAAATTCAGCTCACTTCCCATTCACCTTCATTAATTATTTACTATCATCATTTAATGGGTTATTTACTAGCTGACTCTTTTTTGCTAATTTAAACTTTGAAAAAAAGATGTTAACTACTGTTGGACTGTGCGGCCAAGATCAGTGGCTAGAATGTACCAACACACAGAACATCCATTCTTCTAGCTCACCCTGCACATGAACCACGTGACTTAGAGCTGCGTAGAAGAAAGGCAAATCTAGCCTCTCAGATATCTCCTTAAAACTAACAGTTGGGCTTACAAAAACTATTTTTTTTTCTTGCTATTTTTGTCACCTCTAACAAGCTTACACAAAATCTGCAGAAATAGGAAATATTTAACTTCTCCACCACAGAATCCTTGGGAGACAAAGTTTTCTATTTTGCTATTTCATCTTAAAAAAAAAAAAAAAAAGGAACGTCATTGTGCTTGTTTCAGAACTTAGATTTAAGAAACACATATACACACAAAACCAGGAAGAAAGTTTGGCAAGGCTCCCCTTTTAATACCAGGATGTCAGATGAATTTGGAATTCCTGAAATAAATACTGGGATGATGAGTGCTTCAGATGACATTGAAGAGTTGCCTTTCATGAGTTCACACATAATGGAGAGGCTTGAATGCTTAAGCTGTAAAAGTATCTACATTCATATCATAATCTGTAAACAGAAACCCCCGAAAAATATTTGAAGCTTTTCTTTAAAAGATAAAATTGTATAAAAAAATCATTATTTTATATTTTAGCAATTACCTATCTCCATCTTATCCTAATATATTTGGCTGTCTGAAGATTTAAAATTTAACGAATTGGCCTTAAATAGGAAGAGCCTGCTAAAATTATAATGCTGAGGTGTCTGAAGGTATATAGGGGTGGGGGATAGTCATTAGTCTATTTAACGTATCTATATACATATTTTAAGTGAATCAGTTTTTCATATGTTATTGCTCAGAACAACCTATGTGTGTTCCAAAATTGGTTCAGAATAATATGCTTTTCTGGATTCCAAAGCAACTTTTAGTTTCCTAAGTCAATTAATATTACAGATTTGAGTGATTAATTTTAATTATATCTGCTGAAATTGATTTTCCTTCTGCTAATAATGAAAAGCTTTTCTTGGGAGCTAAAAAATAAGATAATAAAAAGGAAAAAAAAATTCCTTGTATTCAGCTGCAAGAAAATGTCTGGAAACGCGCGCGCACCGCTCAGTTGGAAAGAAAAGCCAGAGAGTGGCGAGGCAGCCAGGGTAGGGATGCATCGGAAATGCAGCGGCTGCCTGGCTCACTCGCCAGCCGGGGCCCTCGGCATAAAGGCTGTAACGCTTTGCTGGACTCTTCCAACTCCAGGAAAGTTATCTCGGACTGTATTATGCAAAGTCTTGCAAGTGAATTACAAGACAACATGTGTGGCCCGTCACCCACTTCTGTGTCTATCCAATGCAGTGACCCTGTAACCCTTTACCGTTCGGCTGAGAGAAGGAGGAGGCGGGAAGGGGAAGGGGGAGGGGGAGAGAACAAGATAATACAACAGCCAATTCCCTCTGCAAAATTCCCATAGAAGCCAAGACAGCCGCCGACACCGCGGTCGAGGCAGCCGCGATTGCTACTTGGGTTCTCCCCTGCCATAGGCAGGTTTTCCAAGGCACCCTGCTACCTCTCTTTAAAGTATCACTAGGAGGAAAGCACTGGATCCAAGAGGGATCTCCCAGCGAAGAGGTTTTCGATGCAAAGTTGAGACCTCGGAGGGTTGCTTGGCTTCCCTGCCAACGCCACAAAAAAAGGTTTTTAAGCTCGATCTAGGTAGCTCCCCAGTGATCCACCCCGAGATGCGCGAGGTGGCTTTACATCCCCTTTCTCTCCCCATTTCACCCGCGCCGTGTCCGCAGCACCTACCGCGCAGCGGCACACAAACCCTGGCAGCCCCCTCCCAATAAAAGACCCCCAAACTTACCCTCGGTAAGATCAAGCCACAGAGGGGGCCCCCTCAGCCTCCCCTAGTCCCCTTCCAATCATTCAAGGAGACAGTTCTACAACACTTCACCGTCAAATTCAAGCTGAATTGGTCAAAGTATTTATCAGCTTCTAGACGCTTTTTTCGAATCTTGAGCACTGGTAATTCTTGTTTCAGAATTCAAGATTCTTCCTTTTATTATTTATTTTTCTTCTTTAAGCAGCCGCAACCCCAGTTTTGCGCCCCCCCCCCTTTTTTTTATTCACCCACGGACACTTCCAAAACGTGTCGATTGATCCTTTTTTCTCTCCAGATGAAACCACGATCCAGGATTCTCGGGACCCAAAGCCACCTCCATGTAAATCCGACCATCAGGCAAGAAATACAAATGATCAAACAACGTTACTTCTTTCGGCTGCAATCAGATAATCCTACTAATCCAATAGATTTATCTCGATTGGAAATTGACCTCAAAAATGAATCCCTGGCGCTGATGTCCAGTAAAGCGATTTCGTAGCCCTGTTCAGGTGATCGAAAGAACTGTGGCTTCTTTCTTTCTTCCTCTTTTTAAAAAATCTTTTTGCATTCAGGGTGCACTGCTCGCAAAAAATGCCGAGGACCCTGGTTTTCCCCTAATATAGGTTTCTACTCCAAATCGGTGCAGGATGAAAAATGGTACAAAGATACCCCTAGTGGCTTGAGGTGATACTGCAGGGAATCTCACTTTTATTATTATTTTTTTTTAATCCCCTCTCCTCACCTATTTTCCCCCCTCTGCCCTGTAGATAACTGGCTGCTATAGTAGTTAAGAAGAAGACTGAACAGGGATTAACATGAATAGCATATGACTACTTAAGAAGATCGTCTGATCTTTCTTCTTTGTTTTAAAGACTGAATTTCCTGTGCTTCTCTCTCCCAGTATTCCATCTCTTTTTCAACAGTTTTCCCCAATGGCATTTAGTAGCTAAAGTGCCAGTCTGGAGCAGCTTCTGATTTCAAAACAAATATATTTGTTCCCTGAATAACTATAGATACCCAAAGAAACCCCAATCTACCTGAGACATGCTGCTTTCAGAAAAAAAAAATTTTTAATATTTTGTTTTCTTTAAAGTTATACAATTATGAATACATATTTTTTATACAATTTTTTCTCATTTTAGACTTTTGATATTCATTCGACAGAGCCAATGATGGCTGCTATGAGCCGTGGTCAAAAAGCAAGACCGAGGGGTCATTATATAGTTCTCAATGTTGCTTATCTGAACCCTTAGCAATTCAATCATCTCAAGATTACTACTAGCATTTTTGACAGGTTTTAGAGAAAAAGCCAATGCAATAAATTTCAAGATTCCATTTTGGTAAGCAATACTTCACAAACTTTACTCTGCTTACCAAAGACCCAGGAATCTTTTTAAAAGGAGGATTCTGATTTGGTAGGACAAGAGAAGGAATGGAGATTCTGCATTTTTAACAAGCCCTCTGACCACATCCTGATTATCAAGGACTTAGTAAACTTGGGAAGTTGAATTCACTTTCCTGAGTGCATGCAATGGTTGCAAGGACTCCACTCTTAAACTAAATAATTAAGCCTTCTTAGTGTATGAGCAATTAAGGAGTCAAGAAACCTTCCTTCTATTACTGGTTTTGTTATTGATTGACTATGTGACTTTTTGGCCCATGGCTAACTTATCTATTAAAATTGAAGAGTAAACCAAAATAAATAAACAAACATACCTGTTCCTAGATGGGAGACTCAATGCTATAAATTAATAATATAATTATTATTAAAAGCCCAATATAATTTTTCATGGAACTTGAAAAGTTAATCTTAAAATGTGTTTGTGGGAACAAAGGGTCAAACTTGTCAATACAATTTTACATACAATATAATTAAGAATAAGGTATGGATAATTTTCATATTAACTATTGAGACTAAACAGAAAATGACAGTAACTGAGGCAATGTAGCTTTGGATCAGGGATAAAATTAGTCCAATGGAATAGAATAGAGGGATCAGAAATATATCTCTGAATTTATGGGAACTTGATAAATAACAGGTGGCATGAGAGAGCAGTGAGGAAAAGTGAATTCAGGCAATAGAATAGGCATATGAAAAAATTATAATTCATACCTAAATATGTATTTAAGGTAGGACAAAGCCTTAAAGATGCAGAACAAAACTTAAGACCTTTTAGAGAGAAATAGCTTTGTGATTTGGGGTAGATGGGAATAGAAGCGTTTATTAAACATTAAGACATAAAAAGTTAAGTCTATAAAGGAAAAAATGTTATTTTGATATATTAAAATTAAAAATTTATGTGCATCGGGGCCCCTGGGTGGCTCAGTGGGTTAAGCCTCTGCCTTCCGCTCAGGTCATGATCTCAGTGTCTTGGGATTGAGCCCTGCATTGGGCTCTCTGCTTGGCAGGGAGCCTGCTTCTCTCTCTCTCTCTCTCTCTCTCTCTCTGCCTGCCTCTCTGCCTACTTGTGATCTCTCTGTCAAATAAATAAATAAAATCTTTTAAAAAATAAAAATAAAATAAAAATAAAAATAAAAATTTCTTTGCATCAAAAAAGTCAAGGCATAGACTGACAGAAGATATTTGCTCTTCATGTAACCAAAGAAGGATTAGTATCCAAGTACATAAAGCTTTCTTACAAACCTATAAAGACAAAAAAATATGATAGGATAAAATGAACCAAGATGAATAGTCAATTGGCAGAAAAGGATTCTCAATGGCCAATAAATATCTGAAAAAGATACCTTACTTATTAGAGAAATACAAGCTAAAACGATGAGACACCATAGGTATGAAATTGGCAAAAATTTGTAAGTCCAGCAATATGAAAGAATGATGAGAATATGAAGAGACCATGGAAAGCATATTAGAACAGTAACAGTTTAGAGATTGTTGAAGATCCTTATTTCCTAAAATTGAGTCTCTCTACTCCTGTGTATTTCTCTTCACACACACAGAAAAAAAAATTACAAAATTACTTGCAAGAGAAAAAAGAAAAAAAGAAAAAGGAGGAAAAAATATAAACACCTTTAGATAAATAAGTGGGCAAGCACTTTATAGAATAATCACATACTGTGACACAAGAAGCAGTAAAAAGAAAAATGAATGCACTATAGCTATCTGAGTTAGCATGGACATCTCAAATATGCAATCTGGAGCAGAAACAATAAAAGCAGTTTGCAGAAGGATACCTGTGGGATGATACCATTTATGTATCAAGTTTTAAAATGTGCAAAAATTAATTACATATTTTTGAGCATATTTATATGTAGGAAAGGTATAAAAACATCCATGATAATGATAAGCCTGAAATTCTGGGTAGAGGTTATCTTTGGGAAGAATGGAGGTTAATGACATTGGGAAGACATCTAGGAAACTTCAGCTGAATCTTCAATGCTTTATTTCTTAGACTGAATCTTGAGTACACAGATATTTATAGACATTTATAATACTACATACAAATTGTTTGTATGTCTGAACTATTTCATTAAAATGAAATATTTAAACTAGATGAGCTCCGTAAACCCTTTACAGCATTAGAAAATTTTCTAATTAAAATAAATATTTGTAGAAGTGAAAAGAAATAGTATGGGACTTTGGAATTTCATAATGTGCTTTCTTTTTAAAAATCTTTAGTACTTTTTATTTCTAAGAAGTGGAAATGGATCAATACTTATTTGTTTCTACAACAGGTATGAAAATTTCCAGCTAGCAAGCAAAAACCACCACCTAAATGGAGAAAAATGTGGTTGAAATAGGGGGAAAATGTAGTTCTCAACAAGCTCCTTTGTGTACTTTCCTTTGATCTCACATGGAGTAACTACATCTCTGAAAATGTAAAACAGGCAATCAGTTGATCGTGTTCAGTTCTGATCGGTTACCTGGAAACCACCAAAGCCAGAATAGCCCTAAGTCAAACTACAACACAAAAGATAATATCTCCAGAATATTTAAAATGTATATGTAATTTCAAGCAAGGAGGTTTTGTTGATATGAAATACAAGAACTGGAAATCAAATTTCAAAGTCATCAGACAATATTTTTCAAAATTCATTCAAAACTGAAGAAGATATCAAATATAAGAAAGAATTTTTTAGGGCCCAATGTTAGAAGTAAAATGAGTTAGATTAGCATTTAATACCACTCAACTCACTTTGAACTCAAGAAAGATTCCTAGACAAGTCATCAATCAATTTTCAGAACAGTATCCCTAGGCAATAGCCAAAGCAGCTTTGCAATAAAGAAAGGGAGAGGGGACAACTTAATGCCCTTCAGTGACAGAATAAACAAGGGGGAAGAAGCAGATGTAATATTCAAGATTTGGAGAGGCTGACGGATTCTTTCAGCAACCACTTGTTGAATACCTCCTGCCTACTGGTCATAGGACAAAGAATTTCACAAGAGAGTTAACATTAAAACAAATAACCATCATAAACCCATAGTTGGCAATTGGTAATTGATTTGTTCATTGTAAATGGTTAATAGTTATTTTGAATTAATACTTAACCATCTATGCTGAAAATGAGATATTAGACACTAATATAATATTGAAAGTTCATTTTCAGTGTGTTTACGTACTAACTGATATGGCGGAATAAGGTAGTCAATGAAGGAAAAAGAGTAAAATGAGAAGAGGATGAGGCGTGGCAGAGGAAAGGAAGAAGACTGAGGATAAAAATATGAATCGAACTCATTTCTCTCCCTGGTTTTTTACTTTACAGACAAGATAGAAACTTAGTTAATCTTTGTATCCCTCAGAGTACAAATGATTAGTGAATGAATGCCTTAATGGATCAAAGTGTGAAGCTAGTCTGTACATGAAGAAAACAAATCTATTTTCTATATTGGAAAGGCTTGCTAATATCTCTTCAGAAAATGAAATTAAGAGAGGAGGAAAATAAAAAATTACTATGACTAACAATAATGGGAAATGAAAGGCCAAGACTGGCAAACTTGAGTGCCAGTTGGAATATGGGATTACAATTTGATTCTGTTACTAAAATTTCAGCTCTGCTAAAACCTATGGTAGAATTACACATCCTATTTTGGTTTCAGCACTTTGCACAAACAAACAAGTGATTAATTAACGCTGAATGGATCATGAAAAGAAATGGCATAGTTCTACTAAAAAAAAAACAGATAAGAAAGTATTTAATTATTGCTTTTAAGTACAACAACAGTCATTGTGAAAAGAGGGTTATGATTTTGTGGGGCGGGAGATAATTGATATAACGGCACATCTTTTGTGACCAGGTCAAATCAATTAAGTTCTGTCTGGTAGTAAACATTTTAAGATGTTATAAGAGATTGGTATTCTATGTCTATGAAAAAAAAAGAAAACTTCAGAAATACTGTAAAACAGATTTTCTAAAACAAGTCTTGGGAAAATATATTCTTCTACCATCTTCACAACTCCCCTGATGTACCCTCATTTTAAGTGCTCAAGACTTGAATCTAAATGAATGGCAACTGGGAATTATGAAAGGCATAAAAATAAAAAGTATTGCAACATCACAGGCCTAACTACTGCAAAGGTAGCTGTTTATAAGAGGTTCTCTCTACAGGGAAGAATCTGTTCAGACAATCCTGCTTAATTAGAAAAGACTACTTAAAACACTTGACTGAT